CTGGGAACGCCTTGGCATTCCCCCGGAGGAGCTGGAGGAAGTGTCTGGAGAGAGGGAAGTCTGGGCATCTTTGCTTAGACTGCTGCCCCCACGATCCAGTCCCGGATAAGCGGAGGAAAATGGATGGATGGAGGAAAGCAACACCCACTGCATCATTATTAACATTTTCTTTTGACCCTTCACTTGTTTCCCTTGACTTAAGAAAAAAATGCAACACCCCAAATATGTACATCTTATTTCATTATTAATAAGCAAAATAGGTGAAACATAATAATAATAATTTTAAATGGTGTATCCATTTGAGCTAGCTTTATATGGCACACTTTTTTCTACTTCTGGTGGAAATGACTGTTGCTGGGAAAGTGTTTACTCACTCATATCCATATAAGTCGTACTTATACTCAGTATACTACTCAGTACTTAGATTGTGATGGATCAAACAGCCAACAATTTGATTCTCTGAATATGGTGAACATTTAACACCCTTTAATTTATATATTTCAATTCACCAATTGACCTTAAGTTGTTAAAGCTACAATAAACAACTTAAGGTAGCACTAGAATGACGCTCCAAATCTGTCCACTGTGCTCCACCCAGCACTCCCTCCACGCCAGACACAATCTCCAGGTGGTTACTCTAGAATGTGTTGATATAATGGGTGCCTGGGGAATCTGAAAGGTGACAGACCAGGGTAATCCAACCATTTGACTTTTTTCTGTCACCTAGTAAGGTTTCCTTACTCTGGGGAATAATGGGAAGCAGCCACAGCTAACCTTGGGCATTCTCTGTCTGACCTGAGCAAGCGATAAGTATGCCGGCCTCCTGGTTTCACTTGGACAGCACTCAGAATGTGGTGGTCTTGCAGCAAAGTCTTCTATGGGGGTTAGCCCTACTCATACAACAGCCCTTCTAGTCTGGCTATTACACACCGCTTAACTGGACTTTTTCTAAATTTTCCCCACCCTCCAAATTCTCCATACCCTAGTCCAGCTTAGCTGACTAAGGCATGGATGCAATGGGACGTAGGCCCAAACCTCCGACCACCAGCAAATTCCTCTTAGTTAAGCTTCAGGCAGGCAGATAGGTACTTAGTTTAGAGGGTAGTCTGGCAAGGTCCACACTGTGATGGCTGACCACTGGGTCAGAGCATCTCCTAAAGGTCTTGCTGGGTGTTCCTAGTCTGCAGTGGTTAGTACCTACCAACAGTGGTCTAAGGAAGGACAAACAGTGAACCGGCAACAGGGTCATGGACAGGTCAGGCTCAGTGATGACAAAGTTGATCTAATGTATTTAAAATTTTTTACTTCCATTTGTACTTTTCAAAAGATTAAAATGTGTATGAATTTTTGTTAAAATATTTGAAAATGAGAAATACTGTACATTGATCTCTATGAATAAAAACATTCAGTAGCTGTAGTGGTGATATCACACCTAGAGTGGGCAGGCTGTTCAGTTTGTCTAAAAAAAGATCTATAACCTGTCCTTTCAACCACCGTTTTCACTCCTTTTACTTATTTTTATCTCTCATTGATACAAAAATTGCATGCTTTTTCAGGCAGTATAACTAAAGCTACTGGCAAACACAAGCTGTGCAATGAACCTTAGAGTGACACAAATGCCAACCAGCTGCTGCATTAACTCCTATGTACACAATATTAGACAGGTGGTTTTAATGTTATGCCTGATCAGTGTAACTAGTCGCTATTTATTACCACTTAACACATTTTTAACAGTGTTTGTGAAAATACATCATAATCCTGTAACATTATTTTTGCTGGGAGAAAGAAGAAAAGTTTTACTCAGAGCCTCACAGTGTCATTGTTCTAATGCACCCTCCAATTTATGTATGATGCTTGTATGGTTGTGGGTTTAAACCCTCACCTGGCACCACAGGGTGGCTCTACCAGCCTCAGCCACTTCTTGCACAGTGCGGCCTGGCTCCATCTCCCCACCCAGAGGAATCAGCACCTGGGAGCCATGCTGCTTATATCTGTGGAGCAATATATGGGAAATTGAGTACATCATGGAGGAAACCTTGGTAGGAACAGGATCTAAATGAAATGACTTTATTCTAAGACAACAGAGATTATTACAAGCATCCAAGATGCCGAATGTCATAATATTTTTATGATGCTGATTTTTGACCCACAGGGTCAAACATTTTAGAAATTAAGCCTAACTTGCTAAAATTCAAGGAGAAAAGAAGACTGGAAGATCTCTTCTAACCTGAGGCGCAGCTGAGATGCAGGCTGGCCAAGTTTCTGTGCAATCTGTCCCTTCAGTTCATGGTACGGTGTGTCCACAGGGACAGACAGAGCCACAGTGTATGTGTAGTGGACCTTCACCACCACAGAGCCTGCTTCTGCTCCCTGAACTGAGCTTGCATCCTGGGAACAAGCACAAATGCGCAATACTAAGAAATAGTACTAAGAAAATGGTAGTGACAGTAGTAGTAGTAGTAGTCTGATTTTTAGTATTTGAAGTTACTTCAAATATTTTACAGGTGGAGAGCCAGCCCAAATGCTTTTTGGGCCCTGCATAGAACCACCAACCAACACTCAATATAAACCAGCATACTAAGGCAATTGAGCTACAGCAGGTAATCATTATTTTTCCAAAAAGTTACTGGCTACCAGTTTTACAAATGTCCAAAAACAAACTTAGGATGGGTGGCATGCTGGCACAGAGGTTAGCGCTGTTGCCTCACAGCAAGAAAGTTTCGAGCCTGGGCCGACCCAGGGCCCTTCTATGTGGAATTTGCATGTTCTCCCTGAGCCAGCGTGGGTTCTCTTCGGGTACTCCGCCTTCCTCCCACAGTCCTAAGACATTCAGGTTAGGCTGACTGGTGGCTCTAAATTGCCCGTAGTAGTGTGTGTGGTTGTCTGTCTCGAAGTATCAGCCCTGTGATAGACTGGCAACCCATTGCCCAGTGTCAGCTGGGATAGGCTCCAGGCCCCCCACAACCCTATTCAGGATAAACGGGACACTAATGGATGGATGGAACTATCTGACCTACCCATCCATTTTTTCTGATGGAGGTTGGAATGGTAAGTCTTAAGTTTTTTCACTATTGTGTGTTTACTGGTCAGTCCTGGCACTTCCATGAACAGAAGTAGCATCTTTTTCATTGTACAAATTTTTTTAATGGTACTATGAAGCTTTTTTAATTCGCTGCATTGATCCCATTAAAAATAATTCCCTGTATATATGTTGTACATGATGATTAAACTAACAAGTTAGTGACTAAATGAGGCACCTGTAAAAAAAGTTCTCTCATTATGTAGTGGAACATCTTTGTCTATCTCCTTAAGTAAATGGACTGTATTTATATAGCGCTTTTTTCCAAAGCGCTTTACAGGGAGGTCATACCACCATTCACCCATTCACGCACACATTCACACACCGATGACGACAGCTGCCACACAACGGCGCTAATCAAGCCACCGGGAGCAATTCGGGGTTCAGTGTCTTGCTCAGGGACACTTAGGCATGCGGGGAGACCGGGAGTCGAACCACCAACTTGCTGGTCAGCGAGACGACTGCCCTACCTCTTGAGCCACAGCCACCCCTATAAGTAAACCTAAGAGAGAAAATGTTATTTCATGGCAAATGTGGAACAGGAAGTCCATCAGTCGTTTCACATAAGAATGACTCTTTTGAGGTCACTGTGGCACGCAGAGACACAAAGGATATTTATATCCAAATGCAGACAACCTCTGCCTCCCCTGAGCATCACAGTGACTTAATCAGGACACAGCATCTCCCTGCTAAGTTTAACCTTACAAAGCACTTTCTTCAAAAGTCCACACGGTGCTTCTATATTTAGATCAGGTACAAAGAAAAGGAGCGTGTATGTATGCCATAAACCGGATGTGTGAGGAAAAAAAGCTATGATGTGATTTTACCTTTCAACCTGCACAGACAAAGCTGGTTTTTCAGAGGTGGGGGGGGTTACCTGGTCGGTGGCTGTGTTGACTGTGTTGGGAGGCTCTGAGGCTGGCAGCGCTACGTGGGTGGCAGTAGTGTAGGATGGAGGTGGAGTGTCTGAGTTAAAATGTACTGCAGGGAAAACAGAACAGGTACAAGTCAGACAGTACACACAGTGCAAGTCTAATAGAAGGGTAGAGTAGATAGGTATTGTCTTTCATAATCCAAGTACACTTAATAGTTGTATTTTCTGTTTAATCAGACAGAAGCATTCTGTTCTAAAACATGTTGTAAACTAATCCCCAGGTAGACCAAACCTATTTGACTTATGTGTTCTTGTTTACACTAAGAAAGAGTTTCCACATTTACAGTAAGTTCAAAATTAAACTGTACAGTGATTTACTAAGACCCCACAGCTTCCACGTTACCGCAAAGCTGCTTCACTACACTGGTTCATCAGTCAATTTTTAAATTTAATCTACAATACTTCTGAATGTTTTCAAGGTTTTACATAACTTGGTTTCACCATATCAGTGAGCAGCAGATCCCATACAGGCCCATCAGAACAACTAACTTGCTCAAAGTTTAGGTTTTCTGTTCTGCTGGCTTCAGGTTATGGAACAATCTCCCTTTCTAGGTCAGAAAACTCCGAGGAGTGTTATTTTCAGAGGCATTGTATTGATGCTTCCCCTCCCCAGTTTGTTCTTATTCTTTTCACAATTTTAACAATTTTTGCTTTAATCACACCTCTGTATCACATCTTCAGTGGGTTCAGAATGAAGCAGCTCATCCTTTAACAGGCGCATGTAAATGGGATAATATCACTCCAATCCTTTCTTCATTTCATTAGCTCCCAGTCCATTAAAGGGTTGATCTTAAAATACTGTTATTTATTTTTAAAGCTCTGGTCTGTTACCACCCTACCTCTCTGACCTTTTAAATTATTACAGTCCAATAGGGTCATTAAGATCATCTAACCAGCTACTCCTGGAGGTCCCCAGGTCTAAGTTGGACACTGGTGCAGTGGCAGCCACTAAGCTCTGAAATATCTTACCCAAAAAAACATTAAAGTCACATCAGACGTGGGCGCTATGAAAAGACTCTTTAAGACCCATTCATTTAAACAGGCCTTTGCAACAAACCAGATAGTCCCCTGGTTTTCTGCTTGTGCTTTGATGTGTTAATTTTATTTTATTTATGTTCCAGTGTTTTAAATTAGTATATTTATGGTGCTTTAATTTCTGTGGTTGTGATGGTTCAATTTGTATACTTTTATTAGATGCTTGTGAAGCAGTGTGGTACAAATTGTTGTTTTTAAATGTGCTATATAAAGTTTGATTTGGTCTGATTTATGTACCATATTTTTTTATTATGTTTATTTATTTACTGTGGAGCACTGTAATCATGATTCTGACAAATTATTAGTAACATCTCAGGTGTTCTGAGACACTAAATACTAAATAAAAAAATTGTTTTGGATTTTGGACATTACTGAGGGTGGAGATGAGGATTATTATTTATAGTGACAAATATTTCCATTGTTGCTCTGAGTTCTTAATAACTGTAACTTCAGTGATGATGACCTTATTCTATCACTTTTATATGTCTGACAGTGTCAGTGAACACAACATAGCCTATAGCTGATGTATTCAGACCTTAACAAGGTATTTAGGGTTGATGAACACAAATGTTACCTATGATAAACAGCAAGGCTACAGCTACATACTGACACTTCCCAACAGGCAGACACACTAGAGAACCTCTTGCAGTACTGCCACTAGCTCAAATACAACACAGGTGCCCGAACAATGAGTCTCAGAGCGCAATAAACATGTTTGTAGTAACTTTCAAAGCTCCACCAGACTCCCTGTCTCTCAAGCAGAGAAAAGGATAATCCAACAGGAGCTTGTTATGACTGGTTACCATATATTTCTGTCCATGCTACAGAGAGTGGTCAGTCAGTCTCCCCTATGTCCCCTGACCTCCACATCACACACTATAGCCCCAGATCAGAAAAAGTTGTGATAGTATGTAAAATCAAAATTAAAACTGAAATAATGTCACTTCAATTCTAATGCCTGCAGTACATTCCAAAAAATGTTGGGACAGTAAAGTGTTTACCACGGTGTGATATATTCCTTTTCACAACACTTAAAAGACGTTTAGGGATTGAGGACACCAAGTGATTAAAGAGCCCGTGGCATGCTTTTCCTTGTTTTCTGACTTATCTACAATGTAACAACGATGAATTATCACTGAGGTGAGGAAAATGAGGTGTACGTATGTTCCTGTACTTCTATGCAGAAGCAACTCGGTTTATACAAGACAAAAATTTTGCTGGAGTGTAACAGAGGAAAGAAAATGGAGAGGGATTCCTCCCTTGAGGCAGAAGCATTTTTATCAAAGTAGAGTATAAGAACCAGGAGGGGCTCTGATCAATACTTACCTCTAGGAGGAGCCCCAGGGCTGGGCTGGGCTTGTGGACGGGTGGGTGGCTTGAATCCAGGTGGGAGGGGGATCCCACTGGGAACTCTCTGTAGAAAAAGGTCAGAGAAACATACATTTTAATTTATTTTATAGGATGAAAAAAGTTTTTTTTTCAAGTAGAGACTTCTATCTTTTGTTGAAGAGGAGGATTAATTGCATAACTATTACAGCTGAAGGGCTTTAACTGTAGCAGCAACTTTTAAAGAACATTTTCATGTATTTTCCCTGACACAACAGTTTTACTACCTGGTCTTCCGGAGGATGCAGAGATAACACTCTACTCAGCATGAATCTAATTTTGAGCAATCTACGAATTGCCACAATTAAAGCTTTGAACTAAGGACTGTGGTTCCACTCTAGATCATCTTAAAATATGATATTGAAAACATCATAATATGTATTATTATATGGAGAAGTACATTACATTCTTCTTTTTGCCTTTGGATGTCTTGACATCTACAGGTTCAAGCAGGGACACTGGCAGAAGTCCTCTCTGAAAATTAAAAGACAAAATCAGACACTTAAAATTGAAAGGCAGCAACCAACAGTGATGAAGATACATCTCCATATTCTTATTATAGTTGCATCGATGGCAAAGGTCCAGTACACCTGCTGAGATGAACATTATTCCAGGCGACACTCCTATGGGCTGTATTGGTAGGAACAAACAACCTGTTTCATAGACTGGAAGACTTGTTGCACTTCAGTCTACTGTTCATCAGTGACATTTTCATCACATTTCCTTTCCATTTCTAATATTTATACTGTATCTTCAAAGCATTTTGAACCTACAGTTGCCATCGGTGTCATTTACAGTTACTATGGATACAGGTGTTGTTGTTAAAGTCCACAGAGAGGTTAGTGGAAAAGGCTAGTTCTTTGTTCACACATGGTGTCTAAGTCCCTCTACTCTGCAGAGCAGTGGGTGACAAACCCACACAGAATGCAACTTCCTTCAGCCTTGTGGTGTTCTAGTGCCTTCAAACCCTTGCTGTTGTTTTGTAAACTTTTATGGTGTCAGTTTAGCCTCACAAATCATATATATACATTATGTACGGCCTACTATTAATTAAACTATGCTTTCAACCAGTTAGTATATTTTTTAAATCTATATACCTTTCTGCTTTATACTAACAGGAAGTGATACAATATGTGCAGTGCCATCATTGTCAATTAAAATAAATAGAAAGCAAAATATCAAAATGTTATTCATAACCTTTATTATTTTTGTTTTCCCAGACTGTTCTGGAAAATTGTAGGAGACTAGTATCTATCAATAACATTGTTACAGATCCATTGTAATTTCAGTCATGTCCATAAGTATTTGGATAAGGACATAATTTTTGTAATTTTACCTCTGTACACCACCTCAGTTGATTTGAAATGAATGATTTTAAATTGCAACACGAATAATAATACATGTACAGACATTAACAAAGGAGACAAAGGGATTATTAAATTAAGTTTTGATTGTGTGAAAGTGTGTAGTGTGGGTGTATCCAACTCTATGCAAGAAAAATATAGGGGGGGGGGGGCTAAAAAAATGTGTGTGGGGGGGTTTAAATCAACAAAGGACCAGGAGTGTATTGGTGATGCTCTCGCCCTGAACCACCAGCACCAGGTGAGGCAAGTTCAACCTTCCCTTTATTTTACTGTTCATCCTTTCCCTTTGTTTTACTGTTGGTTTATGTTAATAATTGATTGTTGGGACAAACAGCTTGGTGTCGGCCCTGGACCTTGAAAGACCTGACTCAAATGTGTGGTGTGTTCCCCTCCTAAACAACTCCCAAACCCTGAGGAGGGAGCTTGTCTAAGAGGGTGTCGTCAGTCCAGTGACGCTATATGCAGTTAAGGAAAGGAAGCAGTGACCCCAGATTGCATGCCCCAGCTGCTGAGGACAGGGTGGAGCATCCCCTAATACAATTCCTGGTTTGTTAATAGTGGAGAAAGATGAATGGGTAAATACATCAGTTTAATAGAAAATGGATGATTGTAATAATAAAATAAAAGTAAAAAAAAAACTAATAAAGCAGTTTTGATCATATAAATACAATATATACACATGCATACAGATAAAACAAAAATAAATGAAAATAATCATCTTAAAATTGTGAGTCTCTGTATTAATAAAATAAAAATATTAGTGAAATAAAAAGCCACTTCTTATACAGTATTTCTAGGAGTTTGTGGGCATGTGCGTGGCCTCTGCCTCAGGTATCTGGTTTAAGTTAAAAGTGGTTGGAAACGGATTCCAGATGTTTGTAAAAGTTGGTATATTATTCTTATGGATGGATGATATTTTCTCTAGTGTGATGTATTCTAGAAGAAGGTTGGTCCAGTGGTTGATATATAATGAGTTTTTAGATTTCCAGTTTGTAAAGATTCTTTTCTTGGCAATAGTTAGAGAGATAAGAAGTGGGTTTTTATATTTAATGGTAGGTGGCTGACCTCTGTGACATTACCGAGCAGCCAGAGTGATGGAGATGGAGGGATTCTACAGCTCAAGATGGTGGAGAGTTTCTCTGACACCGCTACCCAGACGGAGTAAACAGGTTGACAGGTCCAGGTAGCGTGGAAGTAATCATCGGTGCAATCCAGAGTGCATTGTGAACAAGTATTTGTATCAGTGAAACCCATTTTAAACATTTTACCTTGTGTGATGTGAGTCCTGTGAATATTCTTATATTGTATAAGCTGTAAGTTTATATTGGTAGTCATGGAGAAGATATTATTACAGATCTCGGTCCAGAAATTGAGATTGGGGGGAGCACCAAATCCTTTTCCCATTTTAGTCATTGGTATTTTTATTGTTCAAGATTGTCAATTGTTCAATCAAGATTTTTATTTGCCATTTATGCATAAACAGACAGTCTAGGCATATAGGAATTCTTGTTATTGTTGTATCTGTATTTGACTTTAGCTTGTAAAGTTTAAATATTATCTTCTTTGAGTTTGTAAATTTCATTATCTCCTCAGCTAGCATGGAAGGTTGCATGGGGTTGCCGATTATATTGATCTTTTATTTAATTATGGATTTTAACTGTTGGTACTGGAGAAATTCTCCTCTCCCAGCTCCATACTTCTGGACTAATGTATTTAACGGTATGAGCTGGTTGTTTTCAAATAGATGATGAAGTGTGTGATTCCTTTGTGTTGCCATGTTGGAAGGTGGATGGGGGTTGTTATGCAGTTGAAAGTTGGGGTTGTGTCAAACGGGATGTGTCGACATGGTGTTAATGATGATTTCGTAGTTTTGTTTGCTTTCCACCAGGCTGTCAGAGTTTCAGAGATTGTGATATTTTTGCAATAGTTAATTTTCTTAATTAAATATGGTAGGAAGGCAAGGTCTGCAACTGAAGTATTTATGCATTGATTTTGTTCTAGTTCTATCCATGTGCTATTTTAACTGTCCTTCTGAATCCAGTTAACTAAATACTGTAGTTGATTTGCTAAGAAATAATGCTGAAAATTTGGTGCTTCTAGGCCACTTTGTGATTTGTTCTTCTGAAGTGTTGACAGGGAAATTTAGGGTTTCTTGTTATTCCAGTAAAATTGTGAAGTTAGAGAATCAGTGGATTTGAACTATTTTTCTGTGGGTATTGTTGGAAGCATTGAAAACAGATCATTTGAGGTAAAGTTTTCATTTTGACTGTAGCAATTCAGCCAGTGAGTGAGAGTGGGAGGTTGGAATCAACTCCAGGCCGTTCTATCTGCTAAATTTGTCATGAAATAACAAGAACCATGCCACACCTGGCCATGAAGCTGCTTGACAGTCAATTGTCCAGTCTCTTTTGAGCCTGTGAAAATGAGGTACTTTTACAAAAATTTTCCTTGTCCAAATACTTACTGACCTGTCAGTATATGCACACTGTCTAGTTTGAGAGGGTTTCCTTAACCTCCCTAGTGCAAGTATGTGGTGGATCTGAACCAAGCCACTGGCCCCAGCAACCAAGCTCTACCACGCAGCAGATAGACAAAGTTAGCTACATTTAGAGGCCCAGCTGGTGAACACAGTGGAGTATTTAGCAGCTAAAGAGATCTTTTTTCCCTCATGAGTTGATAGAGAGCAAACCAGAGGTAAAACAGTTGGACACAAACATATATTCCAGTGCTACTGTTGTTCTGTATCTGCTGGATGTGTGAGTATGCTGACACATTATAACTAATATGTTTACTTTATAAAGTCATAACCATGTAAATGTTATATTAAGATATTTTAAAGAGCGAGAAGTGAAAACACTTATCAGGACATACAAACACCTCCGCATAAATGTCAGTTTACAAATTTTACAATGTAACTTTGGCTTATTATAGATTCAGCCTGTCTCTGTGCTCACCTGTCCATCATATATGACAGATGCCATCCCGTCCCTATCTTCCTCACCGTATAAAAACACCACGGCACCTCCTGGCACAGTCAGTTGTCCAGGACCTCGACCTATGTAAGGGGTCTGTATGCGCATGTATCTAGAATCTCTGACAGGTAGTGAACACACAGAATCAGAATTGTTTTACTATAAGGCATACATGTTTGTTCAACACAGCAATTTTACCAGGTCAAGTTAATATTTTTGTGTGGGCCTCGTGATAATACTCACTGATCTCCGTCCATCTTGGGCTCATAGAACCCAGGTTTCTGTAGAGAAGACAGACTGACTGTTAGCAAACGGAGTGACTGACAGTAATATCTATATTCATACTGATACCATGGTCAGCCTTATGTACCTGCAGCCTTAGAGGTTCAAATCCTCCAAAGTCATCATTGGGAATCACAGAGGAAATTACCTGCAAATAGAGCATCATACATTACTGAATTCTCCATGTTTGACTTGTGCACTAGTTTACCTTTCATGTCAAATATTTAGAACATTGCATATTTTGTTGAATGGTCAGTCTGAATAAATGTGTGTGTGTGTGTGTGTGTGTGTACGCAAAAAAATTTGCATGCAGTTTCTAAAAGAAAGCAGATAAATTTTTATTAATCAAAGTTAAAAAGAAACTATTATACAGTATGTAGTTATTATCATATATAAATAATGCCATTGTTTAGCATAGCATTTCCAAAAAATACTCGATACATATAAAATTTAATGACTATTCCATGCCAGATTTTAGTTCAGGATGAAATGTGCTGCAAATAGTTTGAGGTGTGACAGTACAACACAGTGGTGTCGAACTGCTAAACCCCACTATGACAGACAGGATTAACCTGATGTTTAAAAAATGCCAGATGTAATAGATTCTATCATAGTTTGGAATCCAGCCTGGCTCTGATCAAACCTCTACTACAACTTCCAAGCCTACTTCACACTAAGTATAAAGTTGCAAAGCATCCAAAGGTTGACAACAGGAATTCATTGGACTGTCATTCGTTCTATAGAAATGAAAAGAATTCAGCCTAAGTGAAGCATCTTAATTACCACACAGAGAGGACACAACAATCACCATAGAGAGACTCCACCTTTGCTTTGCCCAGGAAGTCTCTTTCCTGCAGCTGCTCCACATCCCGTTTCCTGGGACAAAACACCATGCCCTCGGGCACCAGAAGAGGAGCCAGGACCTCCTTCCTCTGTTTATAAAGTCAGAATAAAATGTTATTTTAATTTAATGAACAGTAAATGATTGTGTGTGTGTCTGCATGTGCACGGGCCTGCCCGCCAATTACTCATGTCATAGGAATCAATACCTGTTAACACACACAAATTGTGGTCTTTCTCATGGGGAGCAGATGCTGGTCCCCACTATGTAAGTCATTGAATTTTAGGGTGGTGACTTTGTTAAGGTTAGGATGAGGTTAGGGCTAGGTTAAGACTAGGGTAAAGGTAAGAGTTAGGCAAGTAGTGGTTATGGTTAAGGTTAGGTTAAGGTAAGTATCCAGGAAATTAATGTACACTGATTACCCATAAGATTATGACCACTGACAGGTAAAGTGAATAATACTGATTATATTATTACAGTGGCACCTGTCAGTGTGTGGGGTATATGAGGCAGCAAGTGAACATTCAGTCTTAGAAGTTGATGTGTTGAAAGCAGGAAAAAACGGGCAAGTGTAAGGATCTTAGTGACTTTGACAAGAGCCAAACTGTGATGGCTCAAGACTGATCAGAGCGTCTCTCAGACTACAGGTCTTGTTGAATGTTCCTGGTCTGCAGTGGTTAATACCTACCAACAGTGGTCTAAGGAAGGACAAATGGTGAACAGGTGAAAGGATCATGGGCGCCCAAGCTCACTGGTGTGTGTGGGGAGCAAAGGCTAGCCTATCTGGTCCAGTCCCACAGAAGACCTACTGTAGTCCTAACTGCTGAAACCTGATGCTGGCTATGACAGACAGGTGTCAGAACACACAGTCCAGCCTGCTGCATATAGGGTTTTGTAGGCGCAGACTGGTCAGAGTGCCCATGCTGACCCCTGTTTACTGCCTAAAGTACCTACAATGGACATGTGAGCATCAGAACTGTAGCATAAAGCAATGGAAGAAGGTGGCCGGGTCTAATGAATCATGTTTTACTTTACACCTGGACAGTCAGGTTCATGTGTGTCGCTTGCCTAGGGTAGAGATGGCACCAGGATGCACTATGGGAAGAAGGTGAGCTGCAGGAGGCAGTGTGATCCTTTGGCCAATGTTCTGCTGGAAAACTTCAGGTCCTGCATTCATGTGGATGTTACTTTGACATGTACCACCTACCTAAACATTGCTGCAGACCAAGTACACCCCTTTATGGAAATGGTAGTCACTAATGGTAGTGGCATCTTTACGTAGGATAATGTGCCTGCCACACTGCAAAAATGTTTCAGGAATGGTTTGAGGACCACAACAGTGAGTCCAAGGTGTTGACCTGGCCTCCAGATCTCAATCCAATTCAGTATCTGTGGGATGTGCTGGCTAAACAAGTCCAATCCATGGGGGCCCCCACCTCACAGCTTACAAGACTTATAGGATCTGCTGCTGACGTCTTGGTGCCAGACACCAGCATTTTCACTTGGTCAAAATTAAGACTCTGTATCTAATAATTTTGACACTAAGTCCAAATTTAGACTTTTTATCTCATAATTGTGACTTACTAAGAATTTAATTACAATTATCGGAAATTTACATTTCAGATAGGCAAAATTGCATTGTAGATCTCTTAAATTAGTTTTCCCATTCAAGACAGTGAGGAATTCTTTATAGTCAAAATGTAATTGCAGATATTCATTTGAATTTTGTTTATTCAAAGTTTAACTGCAAAAGTCTTAAATTATAGTTTTGACTAGTCAGAAATACATTGCAAATATCTTAAATGTAAGTCGTGTCCACCTATTTAATGTTAAAAGGGCTTACCATAGGATATAGTTTATTTTGAATTTCACACTGCAAGGAGACAATTTGCCTGTCCCACAGTCTACTGCTGCTTTGATTTCAAAAATTTTTAGCTCATGTTTTCTTTTAGTATTGCAAGACTACACTAGTCTGTTGCGGCTTTTTTAAAATGGCAGTCACAGTTTTAGTTGGTCACACCCCCAGCTCCTGACGTTGCAGTGCTTATTTCTGAACCAGCAAAGACTTGGTGCCAATTTAAAACCAGTTTTCCTGGCCCTGAGCCAGTTCTTTGGCTGTAGAAACACAAAAAAACTGGTTCAAAATTAGGCACCGACTCCAAACCAGACCTAGAACTGCCTCAGTTAAAAAGGGGAATAAAAGAGCTGGAATTATTTTAAACAGTCAAACCAGTGACTTCTGCTGACTAAATACTTGATATGCTTTTGTAGGGGAAATGTGAAACTATGATGACACAGTCAGATTTTTGGGTTGGTGAAAGAAGGCATTGAAACATCTTAATACAGTTCTGCTCTCAAAGGTTGATACTGTGTTGAATAGTCTGTGTCTAGCATAACGTTGCCACCTATGTACGGCTCTCTCTGTCTCCACTCACTGCTTAGCATAAACTGAGCTTTATCAAATGTACATGAAAGCAAAAGACATCGCATTTTACCAGCTGAGCCCTGCCCACTTCAAGCATCCATCCATCATTTATACCATTTATTCCTGAGGGGCTGGAGCCAATCCCAGCTGACACTGGGCAAGAGGCGGGATGCACGCCAGTCTACCAAATGGCTGACATGTAGCCAAACAACCACACACACTCACATCCACTTCTAAGGGCAATTTAGAGTCACCAATCAACCTAAGCTGAATGTCTTTGAATTGTGGGAGTAAGCTGGAGTATCTGGAGAGAACCCACGCAGGCACAGGGAGAACATGCAAACTCCAAAGCAGGAACTTTGTTGCTGTGAGGCAACAGCGCTAACCACTGTTCCATCCCACTTCAAACCAATGAAAGGAAAATTAACAGAAAACAAAAATACAGAAATCCTTCAAGTGTGATAAGGAAAGCTTTTATAATTCTAGCAGAAAGTGCTGTGTTCATGTGGGATCCTACCACTTGAATAAAAGGCCTTTAAAATGTGAGAATAAGCAACTTTAATTGAACTTGAATGTTAATTTTTGACATTGGAAAAGATAATTTGACAAAAAAAATTGTAAATGAACCTCTCTGAACTTACTAGAGCTAATGGACAAAGCGCTTTTTATTTTGCCTTTTATTCATTGACTATCACTTTCATACTTGGGGGTCAATGTCTTGCTCAAGGACAGTTCCACAAGTGAACAGAGGATCCAGGGATCACACTAATGCCACAATCATTGGATTTCCTGCTCTACCTCCTGAGACACAGCCATCACAAGAGTTAGATCTGTTGTAAAGTCCTGCCAGCTGCATAACAGACAGTGGTTTAACAATTTTATAAAGCTGCTCTTTCATATACATACCTTTGTTTTTTGATAAGTCATCCTCAACAAAAAGTGCCAATGCCCCTTCTAATCTGCCTGCAGCTGTTTGATGATCATCAGCTGATAGAGATTCAGCATCATACACCTATGTGGCTGTCTATACCACCTGCACACAGTTTAAATGGGTTTCCCTGTCCTTGCTGCTATGTGATACGTTGCACACTGGCATGGCATGTGGCATGGCCACATGGAGCACAACCAATGATTCACTGTCTTCCAGGAAGCTAAAGATTTCATTTCATTAATGTGAGGACTGATGAAACTTTCCCTGCTTTGTAGAATTATCCTCAGTTTTCCATCCATCTTAGGACATCAAATATGCCAATGACAGAAAAATGCAAACAACAAACATACAGTATGTAACATAAAGAGTGCAAAGGCAGTTTGGAAATGTGTCACCAAACTCTGTCATAAGTCCTTTCCAGTCTGTTGTGAAAGCTGTGATACTCACCAGGACGCTATCCAAAGCCACCTCTATGTTTCCTCCTCGACCGCTTCCTCTCTCCTCAGAGGCTAACAGCAGAATCTCTTTAGCTTGCTCCCACTGGCCCATGTGACAGTACACAGCTGCTGCATTGTACAACACCTAGGGGACACATCACAATTATACATCTCAGTGCCATAGCATTAACATTCATGTCATCTTTTCTGTTATGTGAAAACCCTCTCATAGAAATTTCTGTATGAGGCCGGTACTAATGACCCAGTTTTCTGTCTCCGCAAACTTGTTTTCTGGAACAATAACTCCCCTGGCACTGAATTTTAAGACACTTGAAAATGACACTAACACTTTTCTACTACAGTACAATGGCTAAACAATAACATTATTTTAGTATTGATCAGGGTGATATATCTGAGTGTCAGATTCCTCTGTGCCAATTTCCACCTTGAAGAATAACAATGACAGAAAATACATAACAGGGTGTATAATTTGTCATCCAAAATGTCAGACTGCCTTGCTGATGTTTGGGTCCTTTGTGTATCTGTTTAGGTGTTCCGCCTCAGTTGTAAATTTGTTCTATAATTCCTCAAATGCTGTTCGGTCAGTGGAATTTCTTTCCTGTGATTGCAGCAAAAAAAACATTGCTTCTGTCACTGATGGAAACATTCCAACAACTCTGTGCTTCAGAGAAACGGAAAGCTTTTCTGCAGTTTTATTTCAGAGAAATGTGTTTCATTTACCAAATGGCTTCCTTCTTTCTTTATCAAGAGTCCGCCTGTTAACAAATCACTGAAATGATCATGACCAGATACCAACTCTATATTTGATATTGAATATTTAACAAAAGAGATCCATTACAAATTTGTTATTTAGGAGTATTTGTACATTTTGGACCATAATTGTTTATAAGGTCCCATAAAATACTATCATGTTTGTAACAGGATGTGGGGCTGAGACACTGAACTAATTATTTTTATGTTTTATTTTCTTTCACATTGTTTTATCTTTTTGTCTCTACATTCATGAATGGAAATAAAAAGTCTCAGAAGAAGCAAGAATTTTTGCTCAAGTTGAAACAATTCCTGCAAACATGATTTTGTCTCAGTATGTAGCATCCAAGGTGAATTTACATTTGTTTGCATCCACATAACTATTAACTGTCGATTTATGCAATTGCACCACCTATAAATCAGTTTTAATGCTCCTATAAAAACTGTGATGACTTTGCTCACTTTGCTCCCAATTTCAATGGTTGGATTCACAGCTACCATGGTTGTCATGCCTTTTACACAGTGACATAATTTCCATTGTACTGTATCAGAAATAGTGACATTAATCTTTAAGCACGGGTCCTGTACTAAGCCACAGTTTGGCTGTTACTGCCAGCACAGGTGCATCGTCTGTGAGAAACTCCAACTTGTCTCAATTGTACTCTGAGAAATATGTGATGTTGTGTAACTTCTTCCACAGCCTCCATCAATGAGGCTTTGTTAACTCACAGGTGCATGTGACATTTGAACTACACAGTCAAGGTGATGACACAGTACATGTCTCTCTGTTTTTGTTCTTCAGTATTAGCAGACCTCATGAGGTTGGAACTCCTATTTATTTCATTGTAATATCTCAGAAGAAGTGTGTTGGAGACTGACGCGTTACTGTGTGCTTGCAGGTGTGTGGTGCACAGTATGAGGGTGTGTGAGGCTCAGTGTCAGACCTGCCAGCTGTAGAGTTTGAATCGCAGTCCCAGCTGTTTGTAGTCAATGACTGGGTTTCCTCTCATATGCTTCTGTGCCCAGATGCAATCTGACAGGGCCTCCTCCAGCCTGCAGACAGAGCGACATAGAAAACAGAGGCGTACAGTAGTGAATGAAAAATTGTGCATTTTCAAAATGAAAATTTAGCACCTTGGGCTACAAAACCACTACTGCATACAAAAACCAAAGTGCAAAAACCACTTGTAGTTTTACAGGTTGTTATGGGTGAGGCTATTTCTACTTTGGCCGCAGTATCTTCCTAGAGTCTTTATTGATTTCCTTGCAACGTCACACAAAAGTCCCCAGGAAGTGACTATACCTATCCAAGAAAGAGTCCAGCAAACAAACCCCCATAAAATGATGATGTTTTTACACTTTGTGGCTTGTATGGATTGTATAGTTTTAGAGCTGCTGGCTGACACATCATATTATCTTTGAACAGAGCCTGGTTACTTGTTTTCCCCTCTGTCTGGTCTATATGCTAGGCCGACCCATCACTTATCTGTTTCAACAGATATTATTTTAAATTAAGAAAAAAAACTAAGCCTTAAGAGCAAAATGCACCAATATGCACCTCTTACTGGACAGTGGCCACCATAGCCACAACTGACAATTGCAGGATCAGAGCACCTGGATTTTTCCTCCATTTCCCAACATTCTCTTGAGTCAGTTGTTTTAAAGATATCACCAATATCTGTGACATTCTAGTATCAGAGTAATTTCAAATGTTACCAGGAACCAAATAGTTGTGACATGGTGTTGCCTTTTACCTGCCCATCTGCATCATCACTGCTGCTCTCTGGAAGAAGCCAACAGCAAGACGTTCATCCCTGGCAATGGTGAGGTCTAAAGCCTGGACATCAAGAAGGGTATAATGATACGGTCAGGTTGGACACACATACAATATAGATGTACTGCAATGTGCTTTTTTCCATCTTTCTCTATCTACAGTGTATAAAAAAAGGTAAGCAGGCCTGGCCTAGGTGGAGCTGAGGGTAAACAACCATGTAACAACTCCATGACTGGCTGATGACCTGAACAAAACCTAAGAAGAAGAGAACATATTAGTGTCTTTTTAATGCCCTTCCACTCACTGGCAGATTTAGAATAGATTTTAAAATCCTACTCTTTACTTTTAAAGCACATCATGGCCATTTTCAACCTGCCAACAGTCTGAGGTTTGGGGCAGACTCAACTTTAGGTGCTGAGACTGTTGAGATGCTCACACAGGGCTAGGACCCAAAATGTAGACCAGGACTCAGTAAGAGCCAGAAAGTGTTTATTGACAGAAAAGTGTACAAGAAACTGGCGTGTCACTGTGGTGCCAGGAGCCTTCAGGGGAGCCAGACAGGAGCAAACTGGATGGAACTGCTGGAGCAGGAACACACAGGTGAGCCATGCAGCTGGGAGTGAACTGAGGAGAAGTTGTGGGGCCAGGAACGCACAGGAAGTAATGGGAGACAGGAGACCCCCCAGTGTCACGGGGGATTCAGGAGCTTACAGATGAGGAGAGAGGGCCAGGGGAGTCGATAGAGTCGCTGGTAGATCAGGGACACACCGATGGTAATGTGGGCCAGGAGACACACCAGCATCAAGGTAAGGAGACAGAGGCAGGGAAGGCTACAGTGTCGCTGGCAATTCAGGAGAAAACCAGGCAGGAACGAGGAACACAAGTGAGTGGCAGACACAGAGCTGAAGGAAACTCTCATCATCAGGAGCAAACAAGCAGGATCAAGGGACACAGGTGAGTAAAATGAGAAACACAAGTGAGGAGATGAAGGCAGAATGTACTTCCTGGAAGATGTACTTCCTGGAGGATGTACTTCCTACGCCAGCTCAGGAAATTCAACCTGCCCCAGGAGCTGCTGATACAGTTCTACAAAGGAATCATCAAGTCTGTTCTCTGCACCTCCATCACTGTCTGGTTTGGCTCAGCAACCAAACAGGACAAGTACAGACTTCAGTGGACAATCAGGACTGCAGAAAAGGTCATTGGTGTGAGCCTGCCCTCCATGGAGGACCTGTACACCTCATGGGTCAAAAGGAGGGCGGAGAGGATCACTGCTGACCCCTCACATCCTGGATACAATCTGTTTGAACTCCTCCCCTCTGGATGGCGTTACAGGTCACTGTGCACTAAGACAAACAGGCACAAGGACAGTTTCTAACCCCAGGCTGTCGCTCTGATGAACACTCCAGGAGGAATCTGTACATTGTACAGATTATACAGATACATACAGGTCTCCATTTTTAAGTACTTTATTTTTATTCCTATTTATCTCATTTCACAATGAGCATTCCTTTGACTGTCTGCATTGTTTACTGCCTGTTTATACTGCTTATTTGGCATTGTTTACATTATTTGTTGCTTGTTAATACTGCTTATTTTGTTATATCACACAGCCTTATGCTGGTATACGGTTTACTTGCCCCTTGCATGGGGATATGTAGATGCACATTGAGAGCCGATGTACCAGGATCAAATTCCTTGTGTGTCCGACACACTTGGCCAATAAAGCAGATTCTGATTCTGATATGTGTTATCAGTGCCGAGGAGCAGGACAAAAGAAGGGTAAGGTGAGCATTGTGAATAGCGAGATCTGAATGAGCATTGTTGTCAATACGCTAGCATCAACAATGGACTAGCAAGAGACTGAGGCAAAGGAGGAGGTATTTATGGGCTGTACACCAGGAGATAATAAGAACAGGTGAAAACAATGAACGGTGATTGTGTACTGAGGTAAAGCTGGAACAGGTGAGCTCTCCAACCCGAAAGCAGAGCTAAACCATGACAGAGACAACTCAGCTGTGTCAAACGTTACTGGTTGTTATGACAGTTATAATTGCAATGTCTGAGATAGCATGAATCAATTCAAAGGATTGACCGGACTGTCAGATTCATGCTGTGGTTTTCCGATACACAGAACACACAGACAGACCTTCAGGGCCGGGTCCAGCTGTCCCAGAGCCAGGTGAACTGAGGCAGCATTGAACAGAGTACGAGACGTGGGTTCAGTGATCTGCTCCAGTTTAGCCAGGGCTCCCTGCCAGTCCTTGGCATCGACAGCCTGCACCGACTCATCCCACAACTGCAGTAACTCAGTGTAAAGCATCCTGAAGACTGGAGAGAGAAAAGCAGACTAAAGGATAACAGACCTAAAGAAACAACAGAGGAGAATGTTCTTTGATTTTGCTTTTTTGAGTTAGGTCTTGAGGGAAGCAAATGATTTTCATGTTAGGCTCTTCTTAACTGCTAATAGCAAAACTGTGGACTGAAATGAAAGGTAAAAGTGAAACTCTTTTACATTTACTCTGAAACTTAAGAACAGAAACTATTTATCAAATTAAGTCTTCAAAGTGCTCTTGAACTGAAGAGAGCTCTGGAGGTCTCTGAGGTGGGTTTATAGTAGGTCCTAGATAACTGTAATACAAAGTCAGAGGTGAGCATGTACCTTCTGACACATTTTACATTGATAGTGCAAAATATCAGTGGTCATGACAAATAAAATAGCTGACGAAATACAATATGTAACATTCAGAACCAGACAGTTTTAGCCACTACAGTATTTACATTGGATTGACACATTTGATTCAATGTTACACAACCATTTTTGCATTAAGCCTATCAGTGATGCAAACAAGAATACAGTTGCACTGGTTTTTCAATCACTTCCAGGCATCTTCATTATTTGCACTTGTCACTGTGGTACTAAATCCACCTAACTGTCTGGTTTCTGTGATGTAGCTACTCTAAATGGCAGATCTTCTTTCCTGCTCCAGTTAAGGTTTCTTTTTGTTTCCAGTAGAGGCAATTTGCCATTGTTTTGTGGTCTATTTGATAGATGACTTTAAAAAGTGATGAATCATGGCTCTACTTGTATTATGTGTACTATGTGTCTTTATTTATTTTTTTCATATGTAACAAATGCATCTGTGTGGTAAATGAGAAGGTTGATGACTATGGCCCCATTGTTACAGTTGTGTTTGGTTTAATGAAATTTTCTGCAGAGTCTGTTAAATAGATACCAAATCACACTGACAGACATACTTGTGGAGAAAAATGCATGTTAGATATACTGTTGTACTGGAAGTAAATGTAAGTAAAAATCAATTAACAAAAACAAAACAAAACAAATAAACAAAAAAACAATCACAAGCAAAAGTCCTGCATTCATAATCTTAGTTACAAACTAAATTAAATAGCAAAAGCAAAGTAGTACTTATTTTTCAGAATAGTTCCTTGTGCTAGTTTATTATATTCCAGTATGTTGCTGAATGATTATTACTGCAGGTAGGCAATATTTTAACATTACAGAAGGTCTAAGTGAAGATTTTCAAGTCTTTTTTTTACCATTGTAGTTTATAACTTATAATAGTGCATCTAATTTAATCAGTAGATTTTTTTTATTAAAAAACAATAACTATCTGATAAATGTAATAAAAGAATAAAATGTATGTAAAAAGTGAATAGGTTCCTTTAGAAATATAACATGAAGTGTAAATATTCAAGTACAAAAGTAAAAGAAGTGCAGTATCAAAATAAAATAAGTGCAAATTTAAATTCAACAGTCTGACAAATGAGGAAATATCGCTCAAACACAGAAGATAAGAGGGAGATTAGAAAGACAGGTGCAAGGACAGAGGGAGATATGGCAGAATATCAGTCAGAAGGATATGTAGGCTTTAAACCAGCAAACAAAACAAAAATGAAAAGAGAAACTGTACTTATGTTAATCTGAAACATTCTTCACACTTTTACTGGAACACTTCCTTGTACCTTAGCCAGTGCCTTCTGCACATGCTGTTCATTTCAGTTCATAGATATGGAATAGTTTCTGACAGAATCTTTACAAATTGTTTCCATTCACACTGCTTACCTTTTGTTCCTGAATGAGAGGCTAGCCAGAGCTAAGTCAGAGTCCAACTCCTACTGTGGTGCCTACTGTTTGTCACACTGTGCTCACAGGGAAGTTAGTGTAGCAGGCCTCTTCCAGTGTCCCCACCCTACTGCTATGAGGAAGTCCTCCATCCACATTCCCCAGATATGATCCGCAGAGGCACACAGGCTCGGAATTCACTTGACAGTGTTGCACTTAAGCACAACAATTAAAAGCATGAGTCTCATGGGATTTACTGAAACCTAATAACGCCATGAGGATCAATCTTATTTTGTGTTCACAGCTAGTTTTGAACATTAATTTCTTACAGCAAATGCTTTGTTTGGCAATTTACCACAGTCATTCACACCATGGCATTTAAACTAAATTATATCTCCGAATGCCCCAGACGTCTAGCACTCTGTCATTCTTTGTGGTAAACCCCCCACTATGGCAGTATGAATAGGTAAAAATAAAGCCTATTCTTGCAATATTTATCTGAAAACATGATTTGACCCAGAGACTGTAGTTCAGAAACTCCGTGTCTGTGAAATCCTGTAATATCTGTTTAGTAACAAGAAAGGCCAAGGTTATACTGAGTCATTATATTATGCCAACATACTGTAGTGAGGTTACTCTCCTGGGTTTACATCATAGAATTACTGGAAAGTTTTGAATGAGATCTATTCAGAGTGGACTTTGGCTTCACTTTTCCAGGAATGCTTCAGAGAAGGAAGTCAGGAGAAAAATGGTTCTGCTTCCTAGAAGTCACCCCTCCTCAAAGTATTGCAGTTACATAGAATACAGTTGGTCATAATGTTTAAAAACAATGGAAATTAATAACCTACCTACTGGATCAACCTGCTACACAGGCTGTTTACATTTGTTGATGTGCATTACTACAGCCTCAGTGTAGCTCCACCCACCACAGAAACACCACAGATAAGTCAGCACAGCATGGCTACCTGTGGTGGACAGAATATTCAAACTGTAGCAACCTACTGTTTTATTTATTTGTTGATAATCTGGGTAAAGTGACCCTTTAAATAAAGTTGATGGAATAAAGGCACTTCCATGAAGCACTCCTATTTAACCTGTACATACTTCTGCTTTTTAGAAATTTCCAGGTATGTAGTGTCATTTATCCTAGCTACGCCACTGACACCCAGAAAGGCTATGGCCCTATGTCTTGAAAAAGTGAACAACTGGATGCAATAAAGTTCCTTCAATGAAACAAAGGCAAAACAGATATACAATAATTATTTTTGTAAATAAAAAGGAAGGCTAGTGGTTAATGATTATTTTAAGTCAAAGACACTAAAAACTAACACCTGTGTCAGGAATCGTGGTGTCATCATTGATGAGGATCTAAATTTTAATGGCCGCATCAAAGCTGTAACAATGTCATCAGTCTGGCATCTTAAAAACAGCTGAAATGAGAAACTTTCTGGGTTTTTTTTAGAAACTTTAGAAACGCTCATTCATGCTTTTGCTTCTAGTAGGGTAATGTAATGCACTAGTGATTGGCTTCCCCAGTAAGACCGTCAGACAGCTGTGACTCATTCAAAATGCTGCTGCCAGAACACTGACAAACACCAAGGAGAGAAAACACATGACTCCAGTCCTTAGCTCTTTGCACTGCCTTCCAGTCAAATATAGAATTCAATTTAAGTCCCTACTTATTGTCAACAAGTCTCTCAATGGTCTGGGCTCAAAATATATCAGAGATACTGTATGTTTGCTGAGCACAAGCCTAGTAGGTGTCTCGGGGACTGGTGAGCTAGTGGTGCCCAATTGCCTTTGTGTATGAAAATGTGCTATATAAATAAACTTGCCTTGACTTGCCTTGAAGTCCCCAAAGACAATAAAACAACACCCCAGTGACATGGAGCAATAAGGAAATACACTGCAGTAGCAGACAGCTGTTTTATTTTCGCATTGAGTTTATGGCTCACACAGAACTTACAGTCAGTGCAATCAACTGTTTTCATAAGTAGGCATACAATTCTATTTACTTTAGTGATGATAAGTTCCATTCTTACAGTTATGCTGCAGATTATTGCATTTAAGCATCAAAAAAGTGATTCTTTAGAAGAAAACACATTTGAACTTTGGATTGGTTTGTTGGAGCTGGACTGATCCTAAACACTTTGTTTAGAAAGTGAATCTGTGGCTAGTGTGCAGAAAAGCAGTTACGGCAATAAGGCTGCTGTATGATCACAATGTCACAGCAGAAGATTTAAATAATGAATGAAGTAAGGTGATGTAAAATGTTTTTTGTCATGATTTGGCACTATATAAATAAAACAAAAAAAAGAAGAAGTTATCACTGCTGTGCCACATGTGTAAATTTCACACAGCTCCTCTCTTGACATAGACACATATAGATTTGCTGCTGTTTGAGAGCCACAGCAAAGCCTAAGAAACAAAGTTACAATTTATATTTGTTTGGTTAATGTGAGACAGTGTCTGAGAGCAGATATTTCAAGGGGCAACTGTGTTTCAGTGGGTGGAGCAGTTGTCTCCCAACCAGACAATGGGAGGTTTGAATCCCTGTGCCTGCAGTCCACATGTCAAAGTGTCCTTGGCCAAAACACTGAACCCCCAAGTTGCCCCGGAGGGTTAGAACCATCGGTGTGAGTTGGCGCCGCAGATGGCTGCCTCGGTTCTGTACCGGAAACAAATTCTTTGTGTGTGTAACATACATGGCCAAACAGAGGTTATTATTATTTTTAAATTAAGTACTATGCTTCAGTAAAAGTAGGCGCCTCCACCTGTGACTTTACAGCATGCTCTTATTTTAGATAGTCTAACATGTAAGTATGAATGAAAATTTGCTCCTAAACCATATGGAATACTCTTCTCTGTCATTAATCAAAAACAAATCATAATTAAATATAAACCAATATATCAAAACATTTGATACTGTATGAGGTAGTTTGTAAAAGGCTCATTATAGTGCATGTGTTTGTGTGGCATGGTATTCTAGTATTTAAGTATTTTCACCTTTAGTTGATGCTGCTATGTAGCCTAGTGATATAAACATTTCTCTCACATATTAGTCTAAACACTGGTTCTGCTTTTTGAGAACAGTTTCTCTTTTTTTGTGTTATAGCCTACTAAAAACATTTGTAGATTTTCCTAAACGACCTTAAACGCAGCATAGATCAAAACACAAGTCATGTGACACGTGCAATTAGCGCAGGCGCGGTGGAGACTTGGTAAAGTGACTCTTATTGTGCAGTAGTTTCTGAAGCGTTTCTGGGGAATATGAGTAGGATGTTAGTCTTTTTCGTGGTAACAGTAACCGTGTTCTTTGCGGGTGGACTGCACGGCCTGCCATACAGTTATTTTCAGGTAAGGTTTTAGTTTATGTTTTAAAAAACATTTCCGCTTTGGGCAACTCTCCATTCAGAAGTGGCAAACTCTGCCTACTTGTCATCTTGGCTGGTTAATACTACATGATTCGTACACACATCTGATTGATTATGACTTAAAACTGCACCCAATATGTTAAATTGGACATAAGCGGGAGCAGCGAAGCAGGGCTTTTAGTTTACTCAAACCAGATCTCTATTTGAGTGCGCCTAGCGGTTAACCAGATTATAGCATTAGCCACAGGTTTTAGTTGCATTCTGTATTTATACAGCCCTAAATTAGAATAAGTTGGGACGGTGTGTAAAATCAAAATAAAATTTGAAAACAGTGATGTGTAAATCATCTGTGTCCTGTATTACATTGAAAACAATATAGCAGCACATTATCTGATGTGATACCTCATTAATTTTATTCTTTATAAATGATATTGTTTTCAAATTACAAGGCAATATTAAGTTTATAGTTTTTTGAATAGAGTTTGATTTCATTCATTTTAGTCAAGAAAACATCATGGATTCAAGACAGAACCTCAGTTCACAGAGATGTATTTCAATCAAACTCTGGATCACTTCAACTTTAACAGCATGGGAAATGGGACGTTCAGACAGCGATATCTGATCACAGGTAACACCAGTTTCCTGTTAGACTGTGACACATGCATGGACAAATGACTAACTGTGTTCTGTTTTTCTGCCCTTTTAGATAAGTACTGGGAGAAAGGCTATGGCCCTATTTTCTTTTACACAGGCAACGAGGGAAACATCTGGGCATTTGCCCTTAACTCTGGATTCATCACAGAGCTGGCTGCCCAGCAGAAAGCACTGGTCATATTTGCTGAACATGTAAGACAGCTCAGTACAAATCATGTGCAGTCTACTTCAGGTAGTATTGTCTCGTCTGAATAAACAGTACTTGACTATGGCTGAGAAAAGGGTGGAGAACATGTGACAGAAGCTAATGGGAAGTTGATGATTAAAGTTTGACTCAGCTGTCAGCTGATTTTCACTCTCAACATTCCTCCAAACAACTACACAAACTCAAGTCATCTGGTAGAGCAGAAAATGAAATGATAACTTTGAGGGAATTTCTGAACACTATTTTTAAATTTTGCCACTACTGAGTCAGTATTGCTAAAAGTTCACAATGCTATTATTTTGGCAGTTGATGCTAAGAACCCTACCAAAAAATATTTGGAAAAACAAAACCCTCAAGAGAAAGGGGTTGGGAGGCTAAGTGTGAATTATATACAGGACTGCTTCTCAGAGAACAGTACTGAAAATTTATTTTGGTGTTAGGAGCCAAAATATTGTATCAGAACTAATACTCAGAAATGCTAATGATACACAGCCCTACCTTAGGGTAACGACTGGTGTCATATATTTTTCTTATGAGCAACAAATCCCGTGAAAAGACCAAAACCAACAGTGTTTCCCAGCCCCAAGTCTACTGGTTCCTACTGAAAACAACTCAGAAATAGAGTCCAATAAAAGAAAAAAGGCTCAGTAAGTTCCTGAAACACCTGGTCGCTGTAGTTTTTAGCAAACGTTATTGAAATAGAAGGAAACAGTGCTTCTGTAGGGGACTAATTTCAGTGGTGGATGAATCTACCTTTAGTGTGCTAGTGAGTATTTGAGTATTTGTTAATCAGCTTACATGGCCACAGGCCAGAAGTCAAAAGGTTGCACAAGAATGTTGACA